CTGCTGCAATGGTGTGGACTTCCTGGAGGGCCACTATGCTACAGGATACAGGCTAATTATCTATTTTAATCTCGTAAATGTAGGTTTATCAGACTTGCCCATCTTCATGTACCCAAGCTGGTGCTTGAAAACTGGGCTTTCAGCGTCTTTTCTCCTTTTCCTTATACAAAGCTGAGAGGACTCTGAAGAGATTGGATGTTTCAGTGACTAAAACCTGCACATAGTATTTAAAAGACTTAGGTACTGGTGTTAGGTATTTATGGGCATGACTACATATTGCTGTATCGTGACATTGTTATGGCACTGTGCTTTAGTACTTCCAAAAGGTACAAAAGCATGGTGCAGTAACTGCCTGTATTGTGCCGTGTGCATGGCGCATGGTTGGATTTTGCTTCTACTTCACCATAATGATGTGCTAAAATGGGGGAGCGTGTTGCTACAGAGAAGTAGCTGCCAATCATGTGTAGATCCATGTGATTGCTATGTCACCACAGCACAACATATGTCGATATAACATGTCACTATGGTGATGTAGGACAATGTGTAGACATGCCCTATAAATATCTAAGGTAGACAGACAAGTGGGTGATAAAATCCAAAATCCAAAAGTCAATTAAAGTTTTCCCAGTGACTTCAGTAGGATGAGGATTTGGCCCTACACACATAGCTGCATTATAAAGAAAGAGAATATTGTTAGCCTGATCCTACACTGCCATGTACCATCTATATCTGTTTCAACTTCTCCAAAGTGTATGTAAAATGCAACCACTCTGAGATTGTAGCATTTTACAGTCAATGAAAATTCGTACCTGATTACTATTACTATCTGGTCTAAATCACTTGTACTAACTTTAAGAGTCAAATTCTGAAGTTCATACTCAGGCCACAACAGGCATTCATTTCTAGCAGTAGAAATTTCTCATAAAAGTTTCCAGAAGAGGTAGAAGTACAGATGGGTGCCAGAGGTAGAAAGAGGAAGCCAGCAAGGCCAGAACTGAGTCTGGGGACAGATTCTCTGAGCCCAATTCCCATCCCTATCATTGCTGCCTCTGTTGCCCATCTTGCAGTCCCTGGTTTGGGGAAGATAAGGGGAGCATTGCATCTGCACTGCTTCTCTCTCCTCCCAGATCAGACTGGGAGGAGAACATACAAGCATTCATTCTTACGAGACAGTTTTTCTCACAAGGGAGATCATCCAGGATAACATTTGGAAGATCTTTCTCCTGGAGGGGGTACGTTTCTCCTGGGAGAAATGGAATGAATGTGGTATGCTTGCAGTTTCTACTGGGAGGCCAGTGATTTTTCCTGGTAGAAATGTCAGGGCGGTGTGTGACCTAAATCAAAATTATTACTGACTTCCATGTGTTTTCAGTTCAGTAAGGGAGGTTAGTAAAACACCATGTTATTCTGACTCCATTATTTTGGTAGAAAAACAGAAAAATCATAAAGAATAGGTCCACCATTGCCAGTTGCTAAATACCTTGGTATTACATACTCTCTGCCTACCTACTCTCATTGAAGTTCATATTTTTTCCAATAACACTTTCATAAAAAGTCCAGGAACTGGGAACCCAAATTAAGGTTGCTGTCCTAACCTAAGAGTGAGGCTGCAGAATCACACTCTTCTGTTCTTTCTCTCTTTGTAGCCCAACAGGCCTTGAAAACTTTTATGCACAGCGGTTCAGCTTCAACACATGGGATAGGGAGTGATTTCCCCGGGGTGTAACTTGGTGGTTAGGGCACTTTCAATTGGGAGTGGGGAATGTTGGTTTGGGCCTTTTCAGACAAAGGGATTTGAATCTTGGTTTCTATTTTCTGAACAGGTGTTGTCAGCACTAGACTGTTATGTAAGAGGACAGTACCATCACATCCTCTGGGAGCCACAGGTTAAAAGGGGAGAGTAAGTTCTTGTCAGTTTTTTTAAATAAGTAATACATACTTGTAGATATTATAGGGTTTTTGTGGGTGATATATTTTTGTGGACCAACCAAATGGTTGGGATAGACTTAGACAAGCTTTCAAATTCAGTGCCTTACTGTTCTTATACTATTAAAGTTAATGGTAGTTGGCTTCATCAAGCGTAATGTCAATCCCCAAATCAGCAAACCTTAATAAGTAGGAATACTTCCTAATGATGTTAGCGAATAAATAAATAATATCTTAGAAACAGCAATACATTTGGGTGAGTTGGAGACTCTCTTCATTCTGGAATGGCATTAGAAATAATCACCTAAACAGTCCAGAAAGAGAGAAAGGAAGAGAGGGTGTGACTCTGGCTCAGTGAGGTGACACCCCCCTGGGAGGAAGAGAGGGAATTCTGTGTTCTTTTCCTTCTACCAAAACTATTTATGCATTTTATATTAGAGAATCATTACTTAAATACCCCTGGCAAGAGCAGTGGCCAGCAGGACTTCTTTCTTCCAGGGGAATGCCATAAACATTAGGCTACAGCGATTTGTTTCTACTCACTTTTTCATTTTACCCTATGAATCTTTCATTCATGGTTGTTCAGTAGTTCAGCTTAAACAGGATGGGGAAAGCCCACCACCATCAATATAGCTTCCCATAGGCCGTGGAATAGGGTGGGCCACCTGGGCCATGGCCCAACCAACTTTTAGCACTTTAATTTATATAACCTACAAATACGCAATTGTCATTCCAGTTAAAATTGTATAGCTATTTTTTTAACTACATAGCTAGCTAAATTAATGTGCTAAAAATTGGTTGGGCCATGGCTTGGGTGGCCCACCTTGTTCCGTGGCCTATGTAGCTCCCCCTGGTGGTGAGGGCGCTCACTCGGGGAGTGGGAGATACGGGTTTCAATATCTTCAGGATGGACCTAGAAGCAGGTCTTTGACTTGTTGGGCAGGTACTTTTATTACTATCCTTTGGGGCAAATGGTGATTGCATCCTATTTCCCCACCAGCCAAATTCAAGAATAAATGGGGGGCACTATTCTTTATGCTAAACACGAAGGCGCTGTCATTTAGGCCTTTCTGGTACAGGTCAGTGCCTACCCCCTGAGCTTTCTGGATCCTGATGTAACTGAAGTACTTTCCTTGCAGCCATGAATCGAATACCAAAGATCCAGGGAAGAGCAAAAGTTCAGATGCATCCCTGTAGCTTAGTTTCCTGTTAGCTAGCTATAGGCATCTTTCTGCTGAGACACTAGGGAACTATCAACCAAGTAGGTAAATGTGATTCTATTCCACACTGTTCGGGTCCATGAAAAAGAGTTAATGCAGGTAGTGAGTGGGTGGTTCATCTACAAAAGTAGATACATTTAGGAATTTTCAGGACTTGAACAAGATAAAATAGGATCCTACCTAGGTGTCTAAGAGTGGAAACAGACATCACCAAAATTTTCATGGCTGCACAAAGGCCAAGCAAACAGATGTTCATACCCTTTGTCATGCTGCAAATCCCCCAAATTTGTGGGTACAATATAGGTGGTATCAGTTTGTGCTCTTTTATTGTGGAAGATGTCTGTTAGGTATATGGTGGGAGAATTCAGTCAGCCCAGAGCTGCCCATACAGCTGGGAATTGCCAGTTCCCCATTCGCTACAGTCCTGGAGTGCAGAGGATCAGGCCCCAAAGCCCTAGAAGCACTTGGCTGGGTTTCTTTGTTTGGGATTCTCTAAGGGATTCTCTAAGCTCCTGTCAACACTTTGGTGTGGTCTTGGGGCTGGGACCACGCTGGTAAGTCAAACATGCTTTGGTGCCATCCTGGGACTAAGATTGCCAGTCATCTGATTGGCAGTCTCAGCCCCAGGATTGCACTGGAGCCAGCTTTCCCCTCTTGCAGAGACGTGGCCTGGAGATTCCCTGGGGTGCATCTCTGCAAGAGGGGAACATGTTGCCCCTATCCCACAGGATTGAGGAGTAGGACAACAGGCAACATGCATTTCACCTAGTGAAGCAGATCAGCTTCCCTTGGCACATCTATTTATACCCTAAGATCATTTAGGTGTAGCTCCTAGGCCCACAAGTGAACATAAGTGCTTAAATGTGATCTTATTCCACCCTGCTTGACTTCCTGAGAAACTGTTAATACAAAAGGTGGGTGGGTCTTCCTCCTCCTTGCTGCTTTTTTTGTGATTCAGTCTTAGGGATCAGATGATAATGTATTACCAAAGTAGGTATATTAATAGATTTTTAGCCACTCAAAGGTGGAATAGAAAAACACTCGGCTTTCTAAGTCCACTTATGCACCTAATAGATGGAATAGAATCTGGCCCCAGATGTCTAGCCATGTCAATTTGAATCACCACCCTGGGTCATAGAATCGAAAATATAAGCTTTGCAACAGTGGCCTAAAATACATTAGAGGTGCCTTAGAAGACAATTAGGACCTGGCCCTGGACAGAGTGAGAGCAATAAAAGGAAGCTCACAAGAAAACGAAGGTTTTAGATACTGCAGGGTTTAGAATGGTATGTCATAAAGTATAGGGTCACACATTAAATGATGAAGGAAAAAAAAGCATGATTATTCATTCAGTTAGCTCACTCCACACAGTGCAGTGAGCAAGGGGTTCTTGAGGAAAAATAGGATGTGGCCATGTAATTAAATTCTACCATAAGATGTATTAAGATTGAATGAATAACCTTAATTCATAGACCATCTAAGTTTTTTGGCGGGCTTGCTCAACTTAATATAATTCTAACAGGATTTTTAAATGCAGGCGTATTATATATCATACTTGTTATAGTAAGTATTTATAGTGTCTAGAGGCTAAAAATATCTATTGTGTTTTCTAATTTAGTTCTACACCAATGAAGCATTATTTTCCATTGTGCATTCTCTGGCATTTTGTTCTGTCTAGTTTACATGCTCAAAGTAATGCTCTTGTCGCATTTACAAATATCACTCACTAGTCTCCAAATTACTAAGATATTTTGCTTTTTTAATAAATCTTTCTTTTTAATATGTACCATGTTTGATGTCTTTTGCTGGTTTTCCAACATTTGTGTGTGTGTGTGTGTTTCAGCTGTCATTTGGATGTTGATATGTAAAGCAAAATGGCTAAAATCAACACCCAGCATTCCTACCCTAGTATGCACAGGCTGTCTGTCAGAGCCTCTGATGATGATGTCGAACGAATTGAAAATGGCTTTAGCAGGTAATACATTTCTTTCATTTTAGTCAATCACGATATATTTTTAGCCACCTCTGTAGCACAGTGCATTAAGGGAGAGTGTGTATATGTAATCATTGACCCAGCACAGTTAACAGAGTTTCAACTGCTAATAAATGCAACGAGCTAAACAGTAGATGGGCTTGAACTCTGGCTGTTAGAACCTGCATTCCTCAAGTAGCAAAACTCTTGTTCACTTCAGGAGGAATTAACAGGTGCTCAGGAAAGATAAATCCTATTCTTGGAGCACTTCTCAGATTACTAAGCAGGTCAGGAGGCTTTCTGTAGCACCCATCACTCTCCCAGCTATTGAATCTGCTTAGCTGCAATCCTCTGGCTTCAGTGACAGGTCATCTTTCAAACTGCCCTGCAGTCTGGGGCACAACAAACCTTTGCCAGAACTGTAGTCTGCAGAACATGAGGTGCATCCTACTGCTTTTTCAGGGTCCTCCACTCCCCCACCAGTGGAGCTACCTTACCCCTTCAGGGCTCTCTGTGGGCTTGGGGGACTTGGAAAATGCCTGGGGACTTAAAACATAGCAGTGGACCTGTGTTAATGTGCTATAAGACTTCAATTATGTTCTGAGTTTAGACAAGCCCACGGCCTGCAGAGAGATGAGGGAAAGCAGAATCTGCAGTAGTCATGCTTTCTCAGCTAACGTAGGCACAGTGGGGCCAGCCACTGTTTACTGCTAATGTATAGTGTCTGAGACTGGAGAAACCCCTAGACCTGATTAGAGTTTCTGTGTGAATGATGGGTTGGGATGGTAAGTAACAAATGGGGGGCCTGGAGACACCCAGGGGCACCCTGTTAGCCCACACACGTTTCCTCTTGTGTAGCCTCAACACTTTCTTCCATGTGGGCTGCCTAGGAATGTGCACAGCTGCATGATAAACAGAGCTGGTCTTGTTCCTTACAGAGAGGCCTGGTTGACCTAGAGGTACTACACAATGGCCTTGCTTGTGAAGATTTACAGCTGCCGTGACTGCAGGTCTTAACACTGGCTTTGTGTCCAATGCTCAGTGACTCCCTCAGGAGAGTAGGAAAAATGCAGCTGAAAATGAAAGCCTTTCTTTCCTTCTTTCTTTGATGTCCTCTCAGTACAAGATATCAGAGCCTGACAGCTTCTAGAACAGAATTACAAATATGCAGTTGTGAGTGTATTTTTGCCAAGGTTTAAATATTTAACTGAGTCATTACACTCATTACAATCAGCAACAGCATCAAAGGTAATGACTTGATTATCACAGCTAAAGGGGTAGAAATATGTAAGTTTGCAGCAAGAATTTCAGTCTATCAGGATGACGGTGATCCTGGGAAGACATGGATTTAAAACCATCCATTTGCTGTGAACAACATTAATTACAGGAAATTGTAGATGAGTAACAAGATGTAAGCTCACTCTTGAAATGAGATGACACATTAAAGGTTTGTAAGGTGTTCTTAACAAAATATAGAATACTCTTGTAACATCCAGCAGCTGTTCACATTCACACTTGCACAGCTGGAGAGAGAGAGAGAGAGAGATATTTATTTATTTATTTATCAAGAAATAGCATAGTTTGGATTAGTTGACCTCTGAGTAAGAAGTATGTGATGTAAGTAATGAGACAAGCTTCTGAATGTTTTGATAACATTGCAGCATTCTGCAAAACGCATGCAGTTTTACAAAAGTGTTACTCATATGATTGAAAGGAAAATGGGGAATAGAGCTTATGAACCTTCTTGCTACAGAAAATGTTAGAGAGTTTGGCCTTATGGAAAAAGAGTTTGAATGGATAGGGATCTCTGGTAGGTCCTATGCAGCAAGATGTGATTGCTTCATTTATTCTGTTTCATGTTCTTCAAAAGCTGGTTCTAGTCTCCAAACCCACAATTAGACTATTTATTGTATAACTTCAGACATTATTAGACTTTAAGGGAGAATCCCCCCTCCCCTTCCAGTTCCTTCTTTCTCTAAGGCCTGAGACATATGTAAGATTTGAAGTGCTTCAAAAAATGAAGCACTTCAGCTGTGGACAGATGTGCAGCCCCTTGCCATACTTTCCTTTCTGCTAGAATGCTTCCAAATCTCCACAACAGCATGACTGAGTGCCCACCTCCACTCACCAGAACTGCAGTGCTCCCCCCTGCTCTTTAGCTGGTGGGTACAGTGGGGGACTCCTTGGTCCTGAATGGCCCCCCACCCACACAGGGTGGGGAAGGGGAGTGGGGAAAACAGGCAATGAGCATCCCCCTATGTGCTCAGCTTCCAGCTTCCTGGTTCCAGAGGCTCCTGGGGTTGGAGAGAGCAATTCCCTGCATAGCTCTCTCCACCTCTAGGAACTGCTGAGAATGACTGAGTGCCCACCTCCACTCACCAGAACTGCAGTGCTCCCCCCTGCTGGAATGGGGAAACCCCTGGACCCTCCTACTAGAAGAGGGAGACCAACATCAGAGATGTGCAGGGATTCCTGCTCTCTAGCCCCAGGGACAGATGAAGACATTGGAGAATATTCATTTGCTGTCTGCCCTGCTCTCCACCTCCACATCTCAGGATGCCAGAGGACTAAGCAACCCCCTGTCAAGCTCTGTAGAGCATGCAGTCATAACTGGAAGTGCTTGAAAATAAAGTGCTTCCAAGCCGCTACTATTTCAATCCACAGTTATTCTGAAGCACTTTTTTTGCCATTTTTGGAGTGCTTCATAGGACTTGGATGCCAGTCTACTTACCCTTTGAAGCACTTTGAAGGTGTATGAAGTGCTTCAAAGGTTATACTTGTCCAGGAGCTTATTCTTCAGCTTCAAGTGTTTGGAGGAGGACAGTGCTAGTTAGCTGATGGCCTTGGGCCTATGCCTGATCCCTTTCTGTAGGCAAATATCCCTATATTCATTTATTTATGATTTGCTGCCATATGGATCTAATTCAAACCACATCCCAAGAGGTGTTTATTCACACCTCTCGGTAGAGCAGACATATGTTAAGCATTGCACAGAAGTTAGAAGAATAGCATGATTATATCCTGGCATTAAAAAAAAAATAAATCAACTGCTAAATACCTTCAAAACCATGAATTTGTTTTAAGAATTGTAGGATATTTAAAATAGCAAATGTGGGAGTTGTTTCATGTACTTTCTCGCTAGGGGATACACACTTTCAAGTTTTCCCCCCTCAAGTATGAAGACTAGAAACTTACTTTGTAAACAGAAGGAAGCAGATTTCTGCATATGACCCCAGAGATGAGGGTTTAAGAAAAACTGCAGATATAGTGAGACCTGGCAATGGTGGCTGGAGAGGTTGTCTTACAGTGGGACACAGACAAATATCCAGTGTAAGTATCATAACATAAGATCAGCCCAGTTGCAAAAAGTCTCAAGGTTCATGCAGCCAGATTAATACAGGAAATGCCCTTTTTAAAATGGAAGTCAAGCAAGGAAAAAAATAAAAAGAAAGAAAAATATAAATAAAATAAATAGAAAGAAGAGAAATCAGAAAACCCAAACAAAACAGTCCAAAATATACTAAGATAGCAATCCACCTATCCAGCACTGGCCTCTTGGCCAAAGCTTGAGGAAAGCCTTGCACTTTCTGAAAGCTAAACTAGTAGAGGAAATTATCATCCTCTTCTGTACATGCTCAGTCACTATCAAGAAGCAGTCTCACCCACGTGACGGGGGGTCTTTCTATTGATTTAAATAGTCACTGGTTGGATTCTGATTACATTTATGACTTAAATTATGTCTACATGGCACAATGCACCAGAAGCAGTATAGGCAGGTTAGCCTGGTGCTCTGCCTGAGGTAATATACTCTGCTTCTTAGGCTACAGTGCTTTTGATTTATTTAGTTCAGCTCTGCCATAACTATCTCTACATGGCACTGTACTGAGCCATACATATAATGTGTCAACTGATCTCAAATAGATTGAAAGCTAGTCTCTCACATAGGACTCAGACTTATCACTTGATAGATCAAAGTTATCAGCTTGAATTACATCCACTATCAAATATAAAACTTGCATAAAAAGATGAAGAGCTAGGGTTATATGTTTCCTGTAGCTAACACTTTCAAGACAGATAGCTCCATGCTTCCCAGATGACACCTCAAATAATACTATAGAAATGTAATTATATTAAACATGTTTATTACTTTCCAATTTTGTGAGGGCATAGCAAAGTCCAGATTTTTAATTTGTGAGGGCTACAAAATACTGAGGAGGCTATTGTGAGCAAGCTGAATAATAGATGTATTTGCTAATGCATGGTAAATTAACCAAGACTAAGCTCCATGCCACTGCAGCGAGATTACTACCTATATCCCGCGTAGGTCAGATTAAGTTAGCTCAGTTATCTCAGCACCAAAGTGGAGTCTGTAGTACGGATGTGCCTTTTGCCAGATCTGGCATCTGCATACTTAACTCCTTACCAAATGCCAACAAGTATCCAAACAGAGCAGTGCTAGTATCAATGAAAAGGAGGTTGAGTGTAGAGACTTTTAGGGAAAAGTAAGTCAAAGAAGCCAGGAAATAATGTCTTTTGTGTAGTGAGTCTCACCTGCCTGGATTTTGTTCAGACCATATGAATACGTGTCCAATACCTTATAGTTTCATAGTTTCATAGTTTCTAGGGTCGGAAGGGACCTGAGCAGATCATCTAGTCCGACCCCCTGCCATGGCAGGAAGAGCACTGGGGTCAAATGACCCCAGTAAGGTGGTCATCCAACCTCCTCTTAAAA